ATCAAGGGTATAAGCCATTTTTGTCTTTAATGGCTAGTAACTACAGCTGAGGTTTATTGAGCACTCGGCAAATGCCTAGACCTCTACCAGGCCATTTACCCAGCACTGCATAGTTGGATGCTAACCATACCACGTGAGGGAGGTGCTGTCTTTATTCCCATTTTCCTGATCAGGATGTTGAGCCTGAGGGAGGTAAAGGGTGAATGGTAGGTTTGGGATGTGAAACCAGAGCAGTGTTGCTCCAAGGCTGGTTCTGAGCTTCGGCCTTATACTCTGTCTGCCCAACTTGCTCCCTGAATGTAGGCGTGGTGGTTCTCTGCTTAGGGACAAGTGCTTAGCCTTCCTCTGACCTGTGAATACCAGGAATGCAGGATCTTGCTCCCTGTGCTCCTACCTCGTGCAGGTCAGAGTCCCAGCAAGGGCTGAATCCGACCTAATCTCACAATCTCACCTTCTTGTGTCCATGCAGTTGGGGGCGCCCCTCGCCTTGCTCCTCAGCCTTCTTCACCCCTCCTTAGAAGGTCTTGGGAGTCCAGAATAGCCCTTTCAGGGCCTAGCCCAGTATCCCCTCCCACCTGAGGCCACATCCACACCTGCCCTGGGTCAGGTTTAATCCAGGTAAAGGGACCTCCATTTGGAGGTCATGGGGACATGTGCTAATGTGCCAGCCTGGGCCAGCCTACCCCAGGCATGGCTCACAGAATTCTCACAAAAACCTTGGAGGAAGAGAGCGGTATGATTTTCACTTTATAGATGGTGGAAAACCAGGCTCAGCTGACCACACAGAGCATGTGGCTGGAGCCAGAAGTGATCCCAGCGTCATCTGTCCTCAAAGCTCCTAAGCTTTCCTGCTGCCTCCATCTGGCTGCAGATGGGGCCATGCAAGTGGACACCCCCAGAGGACGAGAATCGTGATTCATTTCTGCGGCTGCCATGGGCCAGTGGCTGCACCCAGGAACCGACAGGCATGTTGTGAAAGTCTGGGTTGGGCTGACCCTGTCTCACTGTTGATTCCTAATAACTGTTTATTGGCAGAGGTCAGTAGGGTAGGGATGACCATCCCCACTTTATAGATGAGGAAGTTGCAATCAGAGAGGTGTAGGAAAGTTGCCCAAGGCCATCCCTGAGTCTGGGGAAGAGCGGGGACTTGAATGCAGGACACTTGGGAAGCCTGAGCAGAATAAGAGGAAGGAGCCTGCAACAGGCTGGGGCTGGTGGGCCCGGGCTGGCAGCTTTATGGGCCTGTAAGTCACTGAGATGTGACAGGGCCCATCCCTGCTCTAACAATCTCTGCTTGAATGAAGGCTTTGTCTCCTCCAGGGGAGCAGGGCCATGGGCCTAGTAGGTGACAGGTGACTAGTTTATGGCAGACTAGGACAGGGGTCTAGACTGGGAGATAAAGCTGGGAATGTTAACATTAGAAGTGGGGAGCCTCCTGCCCTGCTGTGTAGCCTTGAAGAGATGACATGCAGAGCAGTGGCCACACCCTGACCACTCCCCACACATTGCCAACATACACCCCCCGTGGTGCCCCTGATTAAGGCACATTCATGAGGATGTGCCCAACCTTAAGCTCCTCCCATGCACACCCCATGCCTCAGAGAGGACACCACACCAGGGCTTGGCTCTCCTCCATCTTGCTGGCCCCAGCATACCAGGGGGCATACCCACAGGTGTGGAGCAGGATTACCTAAGGGGCAGCTCCCTCTCCCACATTCTCCTCCCTCTAGGAGGCCCCAAGGGGATGGACTTTGATGGGTGGCCCCTTAAGCCCACCAAAGTTTTTCAATCTCTCCTACCAGTCAGGGGGCTGGCCTAGGGTCACATGAATCCCCTGAAGTAGACTTCATTCCCAGGAATAGGATTCCTCCCCACTCCATTCCTCAGTCCTGAAACATAGATTTTTAAAGCCCTATGGATATAAATCCACTCCCCAGAAAAGGCCCTAGGGTGTGGAATCCCTCCCCTAACTGCCATAGTCTTGGCTGTTGATTAAATTCAAAAGCAGTGTAGACAATAGAGTCCTAAGCCCAATGTGGACGCCCCCTCCCCTCTCTGTAGGATCAAAGCTGCTCCTTGAGGCTGTGATCCTGGGCCAGGACGTGGAGTGGGGAGTGGTGGCAGTTAGAATCAGGACTCTAACCAAGGAGGAAGCCCCTTTGCCTGGAGAGTTCTAGGGGAGGCAATCCCTCTTCAGAGGTCCCTAGCCTAGGTTCAAAGGCTGGTGGGGAGCAGAGGGGTTGGCAGCGGATGGGGAAGCGACAAGACCAGAAAACAGGGGCTTCCTGTTGATGAAGGGGGCCCAGGCCCACTGCCTGGTTCCCTCTCCCTCTTCCCTACCCAAGTCTGAGCTTTCCAAACCCCCACGGAAGCCCCTACCCGTTGTGGGACACACAGTACCTAGACCCATAAAAGAGTCAACAGGCACTGCAGCAGGGGGGCCAGACCCAGGAGACAAGAGTATTCCTCCTGAGACAAGAGGCATCTTCCCCTCTAGAGCAGCCCTCAGCCTCATTTACCCAAATGCTAAGGCTTCTTTCAAGGAAACTTTCCTTTTCCCTGGACCCCTCTGAAGATCCTGGCAGATGAGAGAACTAGGAGTCCATTCAGACCCCTGTCTCTCTCTTTTTAAAAGATTTTATTTACTTATTTGAGAGAGAGCAGGCGAGAGAGAGCATGAGTAGGGGAAGGAGTAGAGGGAGAGAGCGAAGCAGACTCCCCACCGAGCAATCAGCCCCATGAGAGACTCCATCCCAGGGTCTTGGGATCATGGCCTGAGCCGAATGCAGATTACGCTTAACCGACTGAGCCACCCAGGTGCCCCAGTCCCCTGTCTCTTTTCTTCCCATCTCATCTCAGGGGTCTGGGAGCCTCGGCAGGACACAGCCCCTTCCCTCTGACCCCCTAAGCTTCTCTCTCACTGGAATCTGTTTCTCGATTCTCCCCTCACCGGCGCCCTCCCTGCTCTGGCCATCACCTAAATGCTCACGCGGCAATTCAGAGGCGTCTTCACTCTGTGTTGGAAGAAGGGTCTTTGGTCTGCTTAGAAATTAAGTTTAGAGCAGCCTGGGAGGAAACAGAAAAGAGAGGCGCGCCCCAGAGAATCCGCGGCCACTGCCTCAGCAAGAAAAGCAAGCCCTCTTCCCCGGGACACCGGATGCCACCAACCCCAGCGCCGCCGCCTCCACTGCACCATCCTGGGGAGGCTGTGTCCCCCCGCGCCCCCCAACCAAGGCCATTCCCAGGCCCCGCGGACCGCTCCCCCGGCCAGAGGCCTGCGCAGGGGTCGGGCCGAAATGATCAAGGCAGGAATCCGGGCACCCACTCCTGTGTTGATCAGATAGCTCGCAAGGTCGGCACCTTGTTCCCAAACCAGACACCAGGTGTGAGATGGGGGCGGGCGGCGACCGGAGGGAGGGCGCTGCCTCTGAGCGGAGCCGAGCGGAGCTGGCGGGGGCGGGCACGAGGCACAAGGTGGCCCGGGGGGGGGGGGGGCTGCGCCAGGAGGGGAGCGGAGGATTTCAGCGCAGGGACAGGACGCGCCGGGAGGGGAGGTTCCGCCAGGGGGAGGAGCCGCTCCCCGCGCCCCGCTGTCGGGGCTCCCTCCCGTCGCCGCAGCTCCGCTATAAAACCGGGGCCGGCATGACCGCCGCACCCCCGAAGGCCGCCTCGGCGCGCGACCCCCGGCTCCGCCGCGCCTCTGCTCCTGTGCGGGATGCGGCTGCTGCCCGCGCTCCTGGCCCTCGCCGCCGCCCGGCCCTCCGCCTGCGCAGGTGAACGCGGGGGCCCCCGGCCGGCGCCCCTCGCCCCCAGGGCCCCCAGCGCCCCCCGCCCCAGGGCTGCGGGGCCTCGGCGGACGCGGCGGGCGCGGACAGCGGCCACGTGCGGTGGCGGGGCGCGGGGTGCGCTCGCGGGGTGCGCGGGGCGCGGGGTGCGCTCGCGGGGTGCGCGGGGCGCGGGGCGGTCGCTCCCCCGGCCGCCTCGACGCACGCCGCTCTGCTCGCCCTCCTGGCGTTGCACGCGCCCTTGGTCCTCGGCCTGGCCCGGGGTCGCTGTTCGCCCTGCGCGGGCTCAGCGCCCACTGGCTGCCCCCCGCCCAGAGCCCGCGCAACACCCTGGGTGCCGAGGGGCGCCGGCATTCCCGCTTCTCGCCCTGGGTCCCTTGTCTCCCGAGGCTGCCGCCCCCCTGCCGCTCCCCAGCCCCCCAGCACTGTACGGGGAGCCCGCGGGCTGGGGACCCTAGGACACTCGACGCCCTGGCCGAGCCGGTCTTTCCGGCCAGGGTGATTTTCGTTTAAAGATTAATGATGTGGCCGAGCTCTTAATTATTCGCCTGGGTGGGAGGTGGCAGGAGTTGTGCGTTAATATTTGATAAGGAGCTGAAAGCACCTCCAACCCCACGGCTGGGCACAGGGATCCGGGGAGGCATCTTCTTTGTGACCCCGCGGGGGACCAGCTCCTTTGCAGGAAGCCCCCATCTGCCAGTCCTCAGCTCAGCTACCCCTCCGATGGTGCCCTTTGGGGTCCACCTAGCCAAACTTCCTCTCCTGACGCTAGATGCTTCTCTCTTGGAGTCGTGGGGTGAGGGGTGAGGAGTCGTCACTTAGCAGCGGCAGAGAAGGAGAGAGTGTGCCCTTTGCAGGGAAGATTCAGCTGGGGGGCAGTGTGTGTGTGTGTGTGTGTGTGTGTGTGTGTGTGTGTGTGTGTGTGTGTGTTAGAGGGGATGAGGGGAATCTTGCAGAAACTACTGGCTTCTTCCTAGGAGAGGAGGGAAGAGGACAGATGGGATGTGATAAATTTTGTATGTAAAGTTTGAGTTTGAAACCTACTTAAGCAGCTGGGTTTGGTAGTAAGAGAAAAGAGAAACACTTTGCAATTAATTCAGTTGCTTTGTAGCTGTGTGGTCCTGGGTAAGTCGCTTAACTTCAGTTTTCTCACGATATATAGTAATTCTGACTTCACGTGTTTCAAGGATTCAGATAAGAATAAGATAGTGGGTGTAAGTGCTTAGTGCGATACCTGTGTGGCACATGGCAGACGCCCCATACATGAAGTTGTCATGGCTCTACCACTGGCCTGGGGCCAGGCAGCCAGGGATCAATCTCAGCTGCCCCCTCATACAAGCTGTGCTCTCCTTAAGTGCTGGGGCTTTTGGACTGGAAACTGTCTTGGGATCTTGGGACCCGTCTTCCACCCATTTCATCCCCTGGGACACTTGAGAGTGACCAGGATACACATCAAACAACCGAGAGCATCTGCTGCCATAGATGGAGAAGGAGGGGAGAGGATCATAGGCTTCTTCAGGGCTCCAGAACCCTAGCCAGGAGTTACTGAGACTTTGCCAGGACATACTTGGGTTTTGCTGAGCTGGTTTCCAGGATTCCTCCTTCTCCAGAGAGTGAGAGCGTAGAGTGAGCAAGGTCCATCAGAGAGAACTTCTTCAATCACCTCTAAAGAAAGGGGACGGGTGGTACACAGGTCGAGAGTGGGGGACAGTGGCCGGGTGATTGGTGATGGTTATCAGGTCTAGTACTGCACGCCTGGTTAGACCTGGAGCTTGGAGCCCAGATCTGGGTGTGGGGAGCTTCCTCCTTCCCAGGCGCCCTTGAGATGGATTGAGGTCTCTAACCTCGGCCTGTGGACATAGACCTGACCCTTGGCCTCATCAACATTGTGTTTTCCTGGTTCTTGCCTCCAGAAGAGGGTAGTTACAAGAGCATTCAGCCGCACAGGTCAAAAGTCTCCATGATTAAGACAGTGGATCAGAGGTCACCATTACAAAACCAGGAGCTGTACCCAGAGTCAGGGAAGAGCACATTCCTAAGGATGGCTCAGCCTAAACCAGATGGGCCCTGGGGGAGGCTGAGAGGAGGCTATGTCCTTCAGGTCTCTGGCTCAGACAGTGCTCCCCGGTAATAGCTTCCTTTTGGGCCTCCAGTCAACCTCAGAGGCCCCTCCTGCCTTCAGGACTGATGAGAGGGGTGAATTATAACGAGGAGACTTTTGCACTTGCAAATGACCTCCATCCATCCATTGGCTCTTCGGACACTGACCAAAGTCCCAGGTTGGTGGCGGTTCGTTCTGCCTGAGGTAGAATGGAGGGCTCGGGAAAATTAATGAACTCTGCTGTACAGATTAAGCCAGAGCCAGGACTGAGTCAGGTGAACAGGCTCCAACTTGAGAGCCAGGACCACCTGCAGAGAAGGGCCTGGGTGGGAAGTGGCCACGGCCCTTGCTGAGTTTGACCTACATGGGTGTTCCCTAGATTCAGCAGTTCTCCACATTCAGCCCTGTCCAGGGCAGGGGATGGACTGTCATGGGGTCCATGGGGAAGGCTCTGAAAGAGGCTGGGCCAGCACGGCAGGGCCTCTGACCCAGAGCTGGGAGACTCATAGCCCTAGCTGGCTCCAAGGGGCCTGGAGCCAGAAGGTGCCCATTTTCTATAGATGCTCACTCTCCTGGCCTGGAACCCCTCCTTCCCTCCCCTACTGAGAACCCCACCTCCTCCTGGCTCCCTCTCCACCCAGGCCTCATTCCAGAGACCCCAGAGGATGTGGGGTGGATGGAGCCAGCCCTGCAAGAAGGGGGTGGATGTGCTCATAGGCCTCAGCTCAGGCTGAGTGGGAAGCTATGCTTTTCTTAGGAATTTTATCATCCCTGAGTTCTTTCCAGCTCACTTCATTTCTCTTCCGTCTGCCCAGCCTGAGCCTTGGCCATCTGCGCACTTATCTGAGGCCAGAGGGAGGGAGGCCAGGGAAAGGAAGTACTCATTAGGGACTTTAACTAAGCTCTAGGCTCCCTAGAATACTCGGTAGTCTGTCATTTAATTCTCCCACAGCCCAGAGAGGTAGATGCTGTTAGCTCCATTTGACAGATGAGAAAACTGAGGCTCAGAGAGCTTAGGTGACTTGTTTGTCCACCCTAGTGCTGCAAGCTTTTTTTTTTTTTAACCAATAGACTATAATTATAGAGCAGTTTTAGGTTTACAGAAAAACTGAGCAGAAAGCTTCCAAGGCCCCCTGCCCTGGCAGTTTCCCCTGTTAGTAACATCTTGCACTTAGTGTAATATGTTTGCAGTGCAGCCTCTTTTCAGAGATGCTGGTTCTACTGAGGTGAACCAGAGCTGAGATTAGAACCTGAATCTGGCCACCTACCAGGATTGTGGGGTGTTGGGACTGGGGAAAGGTCCTGACTGCCTTTCCTGGTGGGCTGTGAGAGCTTAGCCCAGAATGGGTCTTAATCACACCAGAGCGTGTGTTCCAGGGAGCGGCTAGTCTAATCTCCTCCGTCATCCCGGATCAACTCTGGGAAGGCAGCCAGGCTGAACTTGGCTCTGTTGTCCCAGGAGGGGAGACTGGGCCTAATCCTCATCCTGTCCTCTTGCCAGAAACTCACTTCCAGGTTTGTGGTGGGAGATACAAGGGAGGAGGAGGAGGCTAAGAGCAGCTGGAGGAGAATATCAAGGCTAACTCCTGGGGTAGAGCTGAGGCCTCAGATGGCCTCCCAAGACCCCTCAAGAGTGGCTGTTTTGCCTGAGGAACAGTGTCCTGGGCATGATGACCAGTTGGTTAGCAATGGGTCAGGACAACTGGGGCCTGGCTTCTACCACTCTGCCCCCATCCCTGTATTTTCTTAAGTCTCCTTCCTTTGGGCGTTCCTTCCTAGACTCCAGGAATGTTCCATCCCAACCCAAGGAGGTCTCTGGCTTCCGAGGATATTCTTAGCCTCTGACCCACTGTGCGCAGAGTGTTGCTTATGTGCACACAGCTCAAGTCGATTCCTAGAGACATGTGTGCAGAAATACACTGATGCAGGCCTCCTATCCTTCTTCTCTCTCTTCCAGAGTCACACTGGTGCTATGAGATTCAAGCCAAGGCCTCCAACTATGCTTGCTCAGGTAAGTACAGCAAGTCTTGGGGACAGGCTTTTCTGCATGGTGGAGACTGCCCAGGTCAAAATGAAAGCCTGGGGAAGGTGGGAAGGATGAGGGTAATGATGCCTCTCCACCTGTCAGATATCAGTCCTTCAAACACACACAGAGTCCAGAGTCCTGGGGCTCAGGGGACAGGGAAGGTACAGTGACCCGAGTCTTCCCTGGCATCTCTCGAGATTGTCACTAAGAGAAGTCTTCTATCAAACAAATCAATAGCATCAGATACAGAGACACGTTGTATTCTTTTTTTTTTTTTTAAGTAGGCTTCCTGCCCAGCATGGGGCTTGAACTCATGACCTTGAGATCAAGAGTCACATGCTCCACCAATTGAGCCAGCCAGGCACCCCACATTTTACTTCTGTAACAAAATGGAGCCTTAGTCCTCTTCCAGTGATACCTCTTCTTTCGGGTGGACCTGGGAAGTGGTTCTTTGCATTTTGTTTTCTTTCTTTTTTTTTTTTTAATTTTTTATTTATTTATTATTTATTTATTTATGATAGTCACAGAGAGAGAGAGGGGCAGAGACACAGGCAGAGGGAGAAGCAGGCTCCATGCACCGGGAGCCCGACGTGGGATTCGATCCCGGGTCTCCAGGATCGCGCCCTGGGCCAAAGGCAGGCGCCAAACCGCTGCGCCACCCAGGGATCCCTGCATTTTGTTTTCAAACTTGGATCAGTTTCCCTACCGTCTGCTGTCCTCCTGCCTCTGCTGTGTTTCAGTGACTACACAGTGCTGTCCCATTCCCAAGTCCCGACAGACTGTGTTCTTCTCCAGAGGCTACTTCCTGGCCTCCAGCTCTCAGATAACGCTTCCTGTTAGTCAGCGTGACTTTGCTGAGGTCCCCTTCCTGGGTCTCCACTCCACAGCTTCCAAGCACTCTTCCATTCCCCCTCCTCCAACTTGAGGAGGTGCCCTCTGCCTGACTCTCAGCGGACCCTTCCTCCCCGCTCAGGGCCCAGCCAGTGGGGTGAAGACTGCCAGAAGAGCCGCCAGTCCCCCATCAACATTGACACTACAGAGGCACAGGTGGACTCAAACCTGGGACCCTTCTCCTTCTCTGGCTATGACAAGAAGCAACAGTGGAGAGTCCAAAACAATGGGCACTCAGGTGGGTCTCGGGCAGGTAGGATGGGGGTCCTGGGACCCCTGAGTTCTGGAGGACTAAGATGTGTGGGCTCCTCCAGGGAGCATCTTTGCTGAGGAGGGGCTGCACAGCCCAATGGTGGGAGAGTAGGGGGAAGCAGGACAGGCCTGGGGAACACTTCACAGTATTTTCAGTACTTCCATCAGACCAGGAGGGGCAGCCTTCCACGAAGAGGGAACAGCAGGGCCAAGGCACAGAGGCATGAAGCTCAGGGTGCTCAGAAAATTGTGTGTGGCACCGGGTGCATGGCAGGCAGAGAGTGGAACCAGTCAGGGGGGCCAGTCAGCCCAGGAGCAGGTGACCCAGGACTAAGGAGTTTGGACATTCCCTTGAGAAGGCCGGGGCATCAGGGGGCTTGAAGCAGGGGAGGGACCGGGCTGAGTGGCACGTTAAGCACAATGGGGGGTGTGCAGAGAGAGAGAGAGAGAGAGAGAGAGAGAGAGAGAGAGAGAGGCAGGCAGTGGGGGGTATCTTTGCAGGGTCAGTGACAGGTCTGGGCTGTACCACCTGTCTAATACCATCCTGTCCCTGCAGGCCCAAGACTGTAGCCTGTGAGGGGTAGGAGGCGGGATGGAAGGTTCTCCGTGGGTGGGACTGGGAGGGGGGTGCTGGGCGAGGCTAGGGGAGGCAGGCGTGAGGACTCTGCCCCCGCATGTGCCCTCCAGTAATGGTGTTGCTGGATCAAGAGGCCTCCATCGCTGGAGGGGGATTGAGTACCCAGTACCGGGCTTTGCAGCTGCATCTGCACTGGTCGGAGGAGATGGACGGGGGCTCCGAGCACACCATCAATGGGAATCGCTTTGCCATGGAGGTAAGGGCCCTTTTCCGAGTCCGTGCATGCCTGGGCTCTGGGTGGACCTGCCCTGGGCAAGAAGGCTCCAGCCCACTCATGGGTCTTCTCTCCATTCCTCTCACCCCCACTAGATGCACATAGTACACGAGAAAGAGAAGCGGCCATTGGAGAATGAGAAGGAGGCCCAGGATTCCAAAGATGAGATTGCAGTGCTGGCCTTCCTGGTGGAGGTGCGGCCCTCACTCCCCGGGGTCTGAGAGGCTGCTTCTTAGGATCCAGAGATCTGGGATTCCGGCAAGGCAGGAGGGGGCTGGGGGACCCCGACTTCCCCTGTTTCTCAGCGACTTGTATACACCTAGGTGGGGAGCCCAGAGCCTCTCAGGGCCTCAGTCCTAGAAGCTGCGTGCCCTCCCCACCCCAGACCAGAAGAATGGACCGGTGGTCACCACTGGCTCTCCACAAGTCCCTCTCAAGGCCTCCTTCCCTTCTCTTCCAGGCTGGATCCGAAAATGATGGCTTCCAGCCTCTGGTGGACACACTGTCTTCTGTCCCCAGACCCAGTGAGTGGCTGGAGGGGTGGGGAGGGGAGGAGACTTCTTCCTATTGAAGAAGGCCGGGGTGGGGTGATATGGTGGCCTGGGCTCTCGGGATCCCCCGCTTCCCCCACCAATTGAGGGTATTCTCTGTACCTACCCCTGCTGCAGAGATGAACACCACAATGAAAGAGAGCATCAGCCTGTTTGACCTCCTCCCCAAGAAGGAGAAACTGAGGCATTACTACCGCTACCTGGGCTCACTTACTACTCCAGGCTGCCAGGAGAAGGTTGTCTGGACTGTGTTCCAGGAACGCATTAAGCTACACAGGGATCAGGTACATATGGCCCAGCCAGGGATGCAGCCTCCCAATGCCTGGTTTCCCAGAAACCATCCCTCTGGATCCTCACAGAGGCCCCCTGGGCTGGGGTGGTGATGGGGCACCCCAGGGAGCTGAGATCCTGTTGGTTGAATCCATAGACACCCCCTGAAGCAGACAAACAAGGAAGGCCTTGCCTAGCCCATCTCTGGTTTGAGAGTGGAAGGGGAGGCTGTGGCAGGAGCAGTCAGAAAAGGCTTCCATGCCGCCCCCTGCAAGTAGGCCGGAGTTGTCCAGCTGAGGGCAGGGAGTTGGTGTCCTGGGAGGGAGGGGTTGGCAAGGGGGAGGGTCCGCGGCTGGCGGAGAGCAGCTCAGAGAGGGTCAGTGTAGCCACAATAGGAAAGCAGTCCATTCACCCAGCAGTGGTACTCAAGTCCTTATAAGTACTCGGCTCCAGGGATATAGCTGTGAACCCAAGGGCCCAGATCCCTGCTCTGGTGATACTTTCACTGCAGACCAGTGGCTCTCAAAGAGTGGTCCCTGGACCAGTGGCATCAACATCATCTGGGAACTTGCTAGACATTTGAATTCTCAGACCTCACCCCAGTCCTACTGAATCAGAAACTCTGGGGGTGGGGCCTGGCAATGTGGGTCCAACAAGCCTCCCCACCCCAGCCATGATGCTATTACACTCAAGTCTGAGAACCTCTGTTCTGTAGTAAAAGCAATAATAAACAGTGACCAGTGATCAGATTATGGGCCCTCAAAACTGTAGAGCTGTGTGTCCACCTGGCTAAGGGAAGCTAGGAGGAACTAAACCCCACCAGCACCAGCACTCTACATCCTTTATTCTTTTCATCTGTTACAAAAACCTGAGAGCTAGGGATTCTGAACCCTTTTACTAATGAGGGCTCAGAGAGGCAAGGGGACTGGTCTAGGGTCACATAGCAGGAAGCACAGCTCTGCTTGCCACCCCGCCCCCGCTTCCTGCTGAGCCCCATCCCTCCCACAGATCCTCGCATTCTCCAAGAAGCTGTACTATGATGTGGATCAGAAACTGAGCATGACAGATAACATCAGGCCTTTGCAGCGCCAGGGCCAGCGCGTCGTGTTCAAGTCTCAGGCCCCAGGACAGCTGCTGCCCTTGCCTTTGCCCACCCTGCTGGTCCCCATGCTCACCTGCCTGATGGCTGGCTTCCTCCAATGATAGCTCCCTTCTGGACACTTGACCTCTGCTCTCAGCCTGTAGAAGCCTGGGGCCTCCATTCCTCAGGCTTCCTACCTTGGATTTTGATGATGATTAAATGGATATATTTTTGGAGAAAACTTTCTCAGGTCTATTTTTAGTTTCCATGACTATCCCTGTCCTGTTCCCCTCAACTCACTGCCATTCCAGGGTAAGGGCCTTAAGCTTGGAGATTTCTTCTGGGCAGGGACCACCAGGCACGCTCTCCTACCTTTGTGGACTCCCTGTCTATACCCCACCTGAGGGGATGCAAAGCCAGCTCTGAGTTCCAACACAGAGAAAGGCAGAGAAGTTCCAATCCAGCTTCTTCATTGTATAATGGAGGAGGCTGAAGCTCAGAAAGGAGAGCAGGCTAGGTGGAGACCACACAGTGGGGCTCTGGCAGAGGTGCTCAACACCCCCCCCCCCCCCCCCCCCCCCCCGCCCCAGCTCAGCACTTTCCCTCCATGCTGGGGCTGTGTGTGAGTGCAGCCTAGGCAAGGTAGGTGCCAGGAGGTTCAGGTTCATTTATTTGCCCAAATATTTCTTGAGCTTCTATGTTCTAGGCACTGGGGATGTGGCAGAGAAGACAAAGAATGCCAGCCCCCCTGGAGTCCCCAGGCTAGCTGGAGTCACTATAAATAAAATATACATTGTGCAATGTATGAGAAGGCAGTAGGAGCTTATGGAGAAGGACAAATCAGGAAGGGAAGGGGGTTAGGGAAGGTGTCCGTGGGAAGGGGGCATCGGGAAGACTTGAAGGAGGTCAGGGAGGGAGGCCATCTGGAAGCCAGCAGAAGGAAGGGTGCGAGTCAGAGGAACAGCAGGGAGGCCAGCAGGACTGGAGTGAGGGAAGGAAAAGCCCTAGAGGAGAGTTGAGAGGAAGGGGAAGGGAGGAGGTAAGGGGAAAAGGGAGAGGTCAGGTGTGTGGGGGCAGGGAGGGCTTGCAGTAGGACATTGTAAGGATGCTGGTTTTGAATGTGAGAGAGCTGGGAGCCCCCAGAGGCTAGTGCAGAGGGACTTGATGTGCTGCTGCAGGGGTGAGGAGTGAGGGGAGGTGGTACAGTGATGGCGGAGCTAGCTGATGGGTCACAAAGGAGTCCATCCAAGGGTCTTTAGATTCTTTGTGAGGCCAGGAGGAGGTAGGTATGGAGAGGAGGGTCCAGAAAACTGGGGGAGAAGGAAATGAAGGCTCCACGGACAGGTCCCAAGCCACGCAACCAGGGGTCAAGAGACCCCAGGCTCTGGGACCTCATCAGCCAGGGCAAAGCTGGACTTTGGAGCATGAGCACGGGAAGGGGGAAGAGAATGGGCCTGGCTGGGTGAAGAGGGGTCCCTGGGGGGTAGGGCTAAGCCCTCTCTAGCACAAGTTCACACCATGCGGAGGCGTGAACTTGTGCATGGGAAGATGTGGATCCAGCTCAGGGCACTCAAGGGTCCCATTACCGGGTGCTAGAAGCCCCCTCAGCCCCACCCCTGCAAGCTGTCCATCTCTGGAGGGGAGCTGGTTGGTGGAGGTGACCTCTAAGCTTTCTGCTGCCCTGACACTCTAACCACTGCCAGCTCAGCCTGGGGAGAGGGAGAAGCCTCCCCTCCCTTTTCCCCTTTCGTGACCAAGAATAAGCACCCTCCTCCCTTCAAAGGTGACCACATAGCCGTGGGGGGTGGTATTACTGTCACCATGGCAACAGCAGGCAGCCTGTGTCAGCAGGGGGTGTGTGGACATCAAATCTGTTCTCTTTGGTTCCTGGTGCAGCCTGTGGGGGATCTGAGATTTAAGCTGTGCCCTCCCCCTCCCACTCAAGGCTCAGGGTTCTCAGAAATCCAAACTGTCCCCCTCCCCGATGAGTGTCATCCCCCTGTCCCCATCCCCCCCCCCCCAATAGCTCTCAAGGCAGCATTCAGTGAATAACAGGGTAGCACAACCAGGAAGTGCCAGCTCTCTCCAAGGGAGGAAAGGAGACCAGGGGGAAGACACTTGACCCTCCCTTGTCCCCCTGACCCCACAATAATAAACCTGGCCAGTTAGTGCCAGAAAGGCATAGCTTGTTGGGGTTCCAGGGCAGAAACCTTTTCCCTGAGCTGGACCTGGCCTCCCTCATGCCTAAGGCTGAGTCAGTGCTGTCAGCTCGTGATTAGCAAGCTCATTCCTGGCCAATCACTGCAGGAGCCATTCCTGGAATTGGCCCCCACACCCTGGAGTTGAGGCTGATAGGCAATCCCTCTTGTGGGGTATGTGTGTTCTTGAGAGCCTCCTCTCCTGAGTAAATCCAATCCTCCATGCGCCCACCCCCCACCCTGGGTAGACCCCTGTCTAGAGAAGGTGCTCCGTCTTTAGAGACCCAGTGGCTCCTGACACAACTCTGCCAGAGATGATAAGGGGCTACCAGCATCCCCCTTATTCAGAAAGAGGACCCAGCCTCCCCTCCCCTCAGCTCTCCTTTAATTTACTTCTAATGCCCGTTGGTCACTGCATTGGGCACGCACCATGTACACACATGCATACACACGCTTCATTCGCTGCAGCTGGCCAGGTCTGGGGAAGGCTCAGTGCCTGGTGGTCTGGGTCTTCTCCGAGGTTACTGGCTCCCAGCACAGACCATGATACACATTTGTCAAATGCCCTCTGAGTGCCAGACATGGGCCTCACTACAGTCCTGTAAGGGTGGTGGTATTTCTCTGTTGCACAGATGAGATGCTGAGGCACAGAAAGGGGTTAGAGTGATGTGGGAAACAAAGGCAGAAGAAAAATCCTTAAATGTCCTTACTATGCACAGCCCACTGACACCTCCTTGAAATAGGCAGAGTGACATTCCTCTAGGGACTCAACAGCCTTGATGTTGACACTTTGCTAAGGGCAAAAGGCCATCTTAGCCTGACCCTTCAGGATCCCGGGGTCTTCTTTAAACATACAGAAATTCCTTTGGAATCTCCCTTTATCTCTACCCCGCTACCCCCAACAAGATTTTATGTTAGGAATCATCCTTCAAACACAGGCCCACTAATATACATCTGAAGGATCTCATGACTGAGGGTTTACTGAACAGCAGTAAATGACCTTTGCCAACAATAGCTAGCCTGCTCAGGGTCCTAGAAACCTTCTCTCCAGAATACCTTGAAGGTTTGTTCTGTCCCTAACCCCCTCCCAACTTGAAAGTATATAGGCACCACCCCTCACAACCCCAGTGCAGCTCTTTCTGCCCACAGGTCCTGTCCCTGTGCTTAATAAGGCCACCTTGTTGCACCAAAGACGTCTCAGGAATTCTTTCTCGGCCATCGGCTTTGAACCCTAATGTCTTTCCTACATCAAGGGGGACCTGTCAGAATCTGGGGTCACTTCTCTGTACTTCCTTGGCTCCCATTGCCACTTTTGACCCATAGTAGTTCCCAGGGATGCACATCTTTGGATCAGGGGTTAGGGTGGGGTCAGTAGCACCCTGTCCCACCCTGTCTCTGCTGGTTGCTCTGTATCCCCGATGGCCCATCTCTCTGGCCTCTCTCTGGCTCCCTGTTTAGATTTGGCATCTGGGTGGAAGCCAGGAGCTTAAAATACTCTCCATGTGTTTAGATGATTCTTGGAAAATAAACTTCCCCATCTTGGCTCTCAGTTTGAACACTTGCTGGCCCTGTTTCCTGTGGCTCTGATCTGACATTGCCCGGGTTGTTGAGACAGGTGGGATGGAAGGGTGGGGAGAGCAGAAGGGTCCATAGGGCCCCAGAGTCATGAGTAGTGGTGAGGTGTGCAAGTGCGCACAGGTATGTGACAAGGCCGCTTGACACCAAACTCTAGGGGGTGCCTATGCAGAGACCACATTATGAGTAGTGCCTCCCATGTGGTATTACCCTGAAGCTCTGGGCTTCCGTGTGGGAAGAGGCAAGGAAGCTGGTGGCCTGGCAGGCATGGGGACAAGTCCTCCATGCTCTGGGCCTGTTTATCCATCTACAAAATGGGTTAAGCTTAACCTTTCCATCTAACTGGGCCTGGCTGTCTTCAGGCTCCTGCTGGTGACCTTGAAAGGAAGGCCTAGCCTATCTCTGTGGGTGGGGCGCTGCTCCTGCACCTCCAATTACACATCTAGCAGCTCTGTTTGTTTATCTGAGTAGGGACAAAGGCATATCTCCTCTAGGGACTAAGGACATGTCCCTGGGCCCAGGCAGGCCCGGGGAGGGGCTTCCTTTGGGGGAGAGCTACAGGACAGGCGAAGTCACAAGCCAGTTCCTTCCTCTGAGCCCTAGCCCCAGCTGAGAATGGACACGTGGAAGGCTCTTCACATTCCAAGTGTCGGCTGCTAAAGGCCTGGGAGGATAGGCAGAGGGCCAGGGGACAGGGCAGGGATGATGGTACATTTTGATCTTTCAACAAGATTTAGTCTTTCAACAAACACTATTATTTCCTCTGTGCCAGGGACTGAGGATTCAGGTAGAAAAAACCCAGTCTGTGCTCTTCCTCTGGGACTCCTGACCAAAGGGCATGCACATATGACAGTGCTATTAGGTCTATAGAATATGCTCATAGAACATGGACCCCAGAGCCACACAAACCTAGGTTGGTTGCTGTGAAAAGCCTTTGATAACTTCATTTACCTTCCTGAGCCTCTGCTTTCCTCATCTGTAAAATGGGAATGATGATGATATTTACTTCATAAGGTCACCTAAAGATGAAACAAGAAGCCTGGCTGAGAGGATTTATTCAATATTTTGTAGTTGTCATTATGATTCTTTTTATTAGAGAGAGCATTGAAGTTTGAGTAGGACCTACAGATGGAGAGAAACTGGCTGCTTCCAGGGATGGGGACAGGAAAGAGTGGGTGGGAGTCACAATTCTAAGAAGTGATGCCTGGATTTGCCTCTGCAATGAGGAGCAGATGTGAGGTGGGGTGGCAGTCCTGCTCCTATGCAAGGGAGAAACCGAGACCCTTTGAGGGGCCTGCTTCTCTACTCACACACCAGGACATCCCCCCAGCACTCCACTCCACCCATGCACAGAGCTGTCCCAGCCTGACTTTTGCCCAGAGTTAAATAAGGTCACCCAGAACAACAGGATGAGTCAAGGGGACCAACCAAGGCCCAGCCTGCTCTGTAGCCCTCACATCCCTGC